CATGTCTTTTTATGGGAAAGTAACTTTTAGGAGACCAGTCCTCCAGTATATAACCTGCGCATTTCCACTCATTCCCTTCGTCAAAGTAGCACTGTTGTTCGTTCAAGCCTCCAGGACCCTATTCTGACCCAGTCCCGGAGGTAGTACCTGCCTCCTGTAAGCCTTTATTTCTCAAATAAATTATATACCTTTCCTTTGGCAATAAATCATTGAAATGTCCCTGTTGCCATGTTTGTCTGCATTGGGTTCCATCCCTCGTTGCTTGTGCAATGTATTAGTCATTAAAAGTGGACAGTAGGCATCCTTGAGTTAACCAACTTAATATCTGAGCATGTATCAGATGATTACTGACAGAGTTACATATCGCGGCTGTGCAATCCATTATCTGGGTATCAGGGTTATTCCAGGTTTGAATTGGTTATCACAATGATATCACGATGACTCCAGACACTCTGGTTGGATATTCAGGTGAATTAAGCTATTCATGAATATGGTTGCCTTAAGCCTCTAGCCTGAGACAGGGATGAGGACCGAGCTACACACCCTCCAGTCTTTTTTCATCTCTCAAAGCTGTAGTCTTCAGCACTAACCAACGCTGACTCAAGTGACATTACTTTAAGACATTATGACAAGGACAGACATGGCTAAATTAACAAGGACCATCAAGAGCACCACAGAGGGACTCTTTTGAACTTTGTGTAGCATCCAATAGAAAGAGTCAAAGGTTATCAATCAGTAGAAAGTTGAAAAGATCAAGGACATCAGAGACAATATATAATGAGAAACCCAATGGGCCTAGAATTTATCCTTGAGGGGTCCCACATCAAGGTTAATATCCTATGACATGAGGGTCTGTGGTGCATTAGGAATCTGATTGACGGCCTATGATATGAAAACATTTGTGACGCCCTGTGGTAAAACATCTGTTGTCCACACACAGTGTCTCTAACACCCATATGGCACTTTCAAAATGTAGCCTAAAGACCAATATAGTTACCAGTATTTTATATAGTCACACAAACGCACAAACAGCCAGAGGATGTGTGCCTGCTTACGGTGATCATCATCATACCAGCTGGGCATGGGTATGTCACACATTGCATGTGAGAGAGGATACGACAGGCTGGTGGTTTATCATAAAGGATTCAGAAATAATGCACGCACTTCTGGCCGATGTGCCACCTCCATTTAGCAGCAATATATCAAACTAATCAGCAACCAGCCCTGCCAATTTATTACCATGATGAATCTGGAATTGGTAATGTATACATGAAATTCTGATAAGCAACTTGACATCTTTTAATGTCACATTAATGTTTCAAAATACTGGAAAGTTATAATAATTGAATTTACAACTGCTTCTTCAGAGTTGTAATCATAAGTTAAGTTTCTTCATCTTTAGGAGTATTACTCACCCTTTATCAAATGTCATGTAACGTCTTTGGATGAAGTGCTATCAAACTGTTGTTCTCTTAAGCTCTGTTGTTATTTAAAAACTAACAGCTATATACAGTCTCACATTAAACTCATTGTACCACACTGTGCCACTGGCTGGGAGCTGATTGTGTGTGTTTGTGTGTGTTGATGGTAATGATGCTTATACAGCACTGTCTCCAGGCTGACACAGCGCAACAATGACAGAGAGATAGAAAGACCACATCAGCGAATAGAAGTGAGACCAGAGGAAAAATTAAGCACCAAAATAAAAAGCAATAAGTGAAAACAATGAAGATATAATGAGTCAAGATAAGGCCTGAAAAACACAAGAAAAACGCAGGAGAAATAAAGAGAGCTTGAGAAATAGCGACGTAGTGAGACACTCAGTTAATTTAAGTCTAGACAGGGTTGGCCCAAGTGACAAGGCAATTACACTTTATATATATCACACACACACACACACACACACACACACACACACACACACACACACACACACACACACACACACACACACACACACACACACACACACACACACACACACACACACACACACACACACACACACACACACACACACACACACACACACACACACACACACACACACACCACACACACACACACACACACACACACCACACACACACACACACACACACACACACACACACACACACACACACACACACACACACACACACACACACACACACACACACACACACACACACACACACACACACACACACACACACACACACACACACACACACACACACACACACACACACACACACACACACACACACACCTGATACATAGAGTAGTCTAAGGAGCTTGTAGTGTCTGTATTTTGTGCAGTGATACTAACAGAAGAAAAAAGTCCATTATTATCATCGGACTGCTATTGATAACTAGTATTAAAATCACTTGATCTACAAATGTTACATGTTTTAATATGCAGTACCCTACGTTGTTGAAAACAACATTAATTATTAACAAATCTTGTTTCTATGGTATAACATCTGAGGAGAAAGCCATTGAATTGCAGTGCGTGTTAAACTCAGAATCAATAAATGATCACTGCATTAGTACAATTGTTAACAATAACAACTGTCCTTTGGTCAAAGCAGGGCTGGGAAATAAATGGAATTTTAATTTCATGTACAATTTTGGCATCCAAAAAGGATGAAAACAAGATAATCAAGATTATTCGATTAGTTTTGCTAGGTTATGCTCATATTTTGCTCATTTCCTTACAACCAACGGCTCTATGATTGAAGGGGGTTACTAAAGTGAAGTATCCCAATGCTGACCATCTGTTTGATAGCTTTTCTGAGCTAACGTTAGCTCACAAAGCTAAAAGGTTTGCTAGTCACTTATTACAACTATTAAGAGGGAGATACGTTTTCAGATGTGACAAAAAACACTAATTTATTATCATCTCCAGCTTGCTTTCGTGTTTTAATATTTTACAAAGTTGGCCATTGAATGAATAAAGCAATTCAAAGGGGACTTTACTCAAGGGTACCAGCCCACAGAGGAAAGAAAGCAACTACATTTCATCATTCTCTCAATAGAAAATAAAAACTAGTGTTGTTCCTTGTTGGCACAAATGACCCCCCTCCCTTGAGGTTTGAACAAACCCCCCTCTATATATTAATCCATGTCTCTGTGTCTCTACAGGGCTTTTGTGTCTGCTCTATTTAACTCCCCAGCTCTGGACTGCTCTCCTTTCCTCAAATCCTCCAGTAGTCTCTTATCCTTATTGCTTCTTTCCTAATCTCCCAGCTCTACACTTTATTTCTACCAGTCATCCATCTTTTGTTCACTTCATCTGTAAAAGTCAGAATGTTTATACAGAGCTTATTTTATAAAGCTACAACATGTCAGGCACTTTTACAAGCAACTAATGAAGCTTAGTAAAAGTTCAGTAATAACGACTCATTATCTGTCTCTTGTTTTGATCTAATCAGTTGATGGGTGTTTACTCTTTCAAGCTAAACCAATCAGATGTTGCCAAATTCTCCCTGAGCCAATGATAACCTTCCTGTCAAACTGGTAAGATGACCCTTCACATTTTACACTTCTGACAAACACATATTTCCCTAATGCTGCTGACAGAAAATAAGACAGAATGTAAAACACCTATGAAATTACTACTTTATTCCTTAAAAAAAGAGCCTCAAGAGAAGTCTGTTGACTCATCTCGAGCAATAGAGTGGTGCAGTGACGAGTCCTACAGTAAAACCCGGAAGTGAGTTAGCATTTTACCACGTCCGGTTCCCTCGTCTCAGAGTCAACGGGATTTCTCCATAGGATTTTGGAAAATAGCTCGAAATAAGGTCTGTGGTTGACACAAATTTAAGAGACAGATCACGTTTTGTTCTACGACATTAAATACATCAGCAGTGACCCCACTGGTGATTTTATTTTTTATTTTATTTTTATTTTTTTTAATTTTATTTTATCATACATTTTTTATTGCAACATCTTCAATTTACAACACAGTACAAAAGACAATTCAGGTTGCACAACATTTTGGATTAATTCAATCCCATCCCTCTATCGTACATCCCACCCACCCACCCACCCACTCCATCGCACACCCCGCCTCCACCAACCACCATCCACCAGGGCAACAACATCCCCTCAGGGATAGCATTCTTATTTGTTCAGGAGCTCCTTTAAGTTAGATATCAGATCTGTCCATATTCAAATTGTATCAGGTTTTGCATCGTTGATTCTCGCAGAGGACAGTTCAAGGTAAGAAATGTTCAAAAAACTCTGAAGCCAGTGAGAACTTGAAATATCGTGAGGAGGTTTCCAACGTTGGACTATAATCTTTTTAGCTGCAGTCAAGCCTGTTAGCCAGATTTTGCGAGTTTTCCCCGTAAGGGAAAGGTGAGATTCATCATTTAGAAGATGTACAGCAGGTTCCATTGGTAATCTTAACCCTATTAAATCTGTAAGGGTACTAATAACCTTCCCCCAAAAGTGTAATACTCCTGGACACTCGCATACAACATGTAAGAAAGAGATAATCTTTGAATGGCTCTAGATAAACTTTCTTGAGTCTGAGAAATAACCAATATGAGTTTGTAGTGATGTTATCAGGGTTATCCCAGCTGAGCCTTGGAGACCACAATATCTTTTATACAGCAAGCTTTTTAATGAAAAGATTTTGTTATTGTGCTGTAATGGGGTTTTGACAGTTGAACCTTTCTATAGACGAAAGGATCAGGATGTATTGATCTCTGCTGCTTCAATTTGAATCATAAAAAAATATAACTAAGGTGTATTACATTAGTTATATTTTTGAATTCATAAGACATGGTTTTATCCTTTAAGAGAGCTTAGGACACAAACGGTGCAATGCAGTTTTATTTTACCCAGACGACTTAAATTCAAAACCAGTGACTCTTGTAAATGCCCACAAGCCAACTCAACTCTCACTCCCTCCTGAAAAGAGGACATCCCTAGAGGGATCAACATCACATCCATGAAAAGCATCACTTCCTCTTCACATCTTTGCTCAAACGCTCACAGCGACTCACCACTCTTGGTGTCCTTTCCATCCAGTAAGGGTCGGTAGTCGCTCTTGGAGACCGTCTCTCCCACCTTGTCATCATAGCTCTCTTTCTCCAGTGAAGCCACAAAGTCCCTCTTCATTAGGGCCTCAGCAGGGGCCCCACCTGGGACCCCACCTCCACCCCCACCCAGAGCATCTCGCAGGCTCAGGTCCATAGTCCTGTTACTATGGAGAGAAAAAGGAGAGGTGTGATTACATTTATTATTTGTTTATGACTGCCTCTTTTTTGCTGTCTTTATAGTCGTATTTCCTGTTTGTCATAAATAAAACTGAACCCTCTTCCTTTCAATGATCATCATTCATACAGTATGCGACTGACCTCTTACATCTTTTGCAAGTTTGTCGATTCAGGTGAGAGTGCAAACTATTTCTAGACAGATTGCAGATGCAGGATGATAACAGAAACTGAAGTGTGTGATACGTTTCTTTACACTGTGCTTTAGCTGTTCTACATACAGTATGTCCTCTCTCTCAATAGAGGTACATGCTTGATTGTGGAATACCGATCTAAGGGAGAGTCGAAGGGATAATAACTATTGAAACTTTTGTGGATTTCAATTAATTCATTATTTCAATGAAAATAGAAAAGCTGAACCAACTACCTCTCTTTACTAAAGCTACTAAGATATATGATACGATAATACTTCAATTAGGGCTGTGCGATTATGGCAAAAATCATAATCACGATTATTTGGGTCAATAATTGATATCACAATTATTAAATACGATTATTCATTGACTTTGAAAAAATCCATTTATTGAACTTTAAAACAAATACAAATAATAATTTGAACAGTATCTTTTTAACTGTTGATTACCCTGAACGTATAATTCAACTGAAAAACCAATACAAAAATAAATAAATGATACATTTAAATAAATAATATCAAAATAATAAATACCAATAAACAAGATCAACAAATATTTTGGAGCGCACTTCCACAAGCTACTAAACATATATAAATATGATAAATACAAATAAATGAGACCAAAATTAATTAGATCAAATATGTTCTAGTGCACTGTCACAACCTAGCAAAGCAAAATAATTGTTTTTTTTGATTATGTTTTTTTCGTAATTGTGGCAGGCCAAAATCATAATTGCGATTAAAATACGATTAATTGCACAGCCCTAACTTCAATGGTCAGATCAAGTCTGAAAGTTGACTTGCATCACAGCAGCTCCATTTGCAACATCAACATGGAGAAATATCAAGACACAATACATGAAAAATCACTGATAGAAACATGCTCAAAGACCCTTTAGCGTGCATTTAGCTCTGTATTTACTGTTAAGATTGACTGATGCACAAAGGAGTGCTTCAGCCTGACTTTATTGAATCGTGGGACCCTGTATCTTTGATAAGATGGTTGCAGTTCAGATTTGCTGTTCAGAACATGGTTTGGGTCAGAGATGATGTTGTTGGACAGCCTCATTAGGTTGTTATGATAGGATGACTCATAAAGTCTCTTTATATACCTGCAAAACAAAATTCTACTGAGTGTAGATGTTCTTTTCTACTGTCTTGGCGCTCATCTTGATATTATAGCAGCTGTTTAACACAATACAAAGATAAATAAAAAATGGCCCCTAAATAAGTAATGCAAAAGCAAACCATAAATCCTTTGTCTATCTCGAGTCTCTGCATTTTTTTTTCCCCATTAACCTTGTTTTTCAGCCTGGATTCTGGAGTGTTAGCGCCTGGCAACAAGATGGTAATGTGTCCTCGCGCATTGACTTGCCGCTGTCAGGCATCAAGATGCCACCATTGTGTGGAGCGACACAGGAAACAATGGGTGCCAGTGTTTTGATGAGCGTCATACTCTGCAAGCGTGTGTTGCCAGCGGTTGCCAGTACGGCTGATTCTGCTACTAAACTAGAGGGGAAATATAAACAATCTTTTATAATTCAGAACAGCTTGTCACTTAAATGAGCTGGTCCACCTTAAAAAGGTCCGCCTTCCTTACATACGCTTGAGGTAAAGTGGTCAGTAGCTTCCGGGATTCCATTTTATCATAAGGTGGCAAGCAAGACACATGGACTTAGCTTAGCATTTTTCATGTACAAATAAACCTTAAACACACTGCACTGCCACTGCCACGTTCACAGCAATAACCTTAGTACTAATTTCCTATTTGATGTCACACCAGCTTGCTTTCCTACTGCACACTTGATAACATGTTAAAGTTAACTCTCGAAGACGTTTGCTACTTGTAACACATTTTGGATAGAAAACAACTTAAACATGTTTTCCTTTTTGTATTCCCTGATGCTTAGGCCCAGCGGGAATTGCAATACATTTGCAGAAAACCTAGAATAAGAGTGTGGACGTTATTAATATTGTGGTAACCACTGTCAAGTATCTTGTCTGTAATGACATTCAGTGCAATGCATAGAAGTTCTTATAATAATTTCAGTAAGTAAGATACTGGACATTCACGTCAGGGTTTGAACAACGTATTGGTTAACTGACCCTTCTTCAGAGCAGGCTAGCTGTGCAGGTTACCATGGTGACTGACCCCAGTTCAACTTGAATCAGCTTATTGATACAAGCCCAAAGGAATCCAGCTAATTTGAAACCTTTTTGTCAGTAAATGGACTGCAGTTAGTTTGAAGAGTACCTGATATGCTTTTTGGAGTTGTCCCTTTCCTGTAGTGTGTTCTTTCGGTTTGTGTGCATGTAAATGGTCTGCAAAGGCTCAAATCCAAAAGTTCCCTCCGGAGGGAGTTCCTCTCCCACTCTAAAAGTAGCGGATACAACCCGTTTCGTTCTCGTGTAAACAGCGCCTAAGAGGCTGACCAATCACAACAGAACTGGCCATCTAACCAATCAGAGCACACTGGGCTCTGGTTTAAGACAGAGGGTGAAAAGAGGTGCTGCATCACAGGCAGTATGAGAAAGATAAAGAGCTTTTTGAAAATGAAAGCATGTAAACATTCACAGTAGAGGCACAAAATACTTGAAATGATGAAAAATGATTATAATAATAGGGCCTCTTTGAGTATGAAATGCTTCAAATTTCAATTATTTTCCTCTCTGTAACTGACTGCTGCAAAACTAATGAGTCAACCTGCACACGTTGCATTACATTCTAGTAGTGTTTAGTGCTTCCAAGGGTAAAATAAAAAGAGGAAAGAACATAACTTTATCTAGAGAACTCAAAAACAGAGACATCGAAAATAACTTAACAATGACTTAACCTAAGAATAAACCTCAAAGAGGATTGCTTGGACTAATTTCACCTGCTTAATGTGACATGCATAAAACTGTCCCAACACTTAGACAGCATGACCCCTGGACAAACTCCTCTTTCTCTCTGTCCCTGTTTCCGTTTGTCCCTCTAACCACGCTCCCAGCAAACAAGCTATCATTGTCTTATCATGCAACTGTACCACATACACACACACAAAACACACACACAAAACACACACACACACAGTAGAGTTATAGCAGGCCTTGAATGGAACTGTAGGCCATTGTTTGGGGGGAAGGACAGCGTACAGCGGACACCTCCTTACACACAGACTTTCACTTTGCGTTCCTACCACTACCTAGTCAGTTCTCTCTATTACTCATTTGGAGTTATGAATGACTGTCTAAAATTCATGTTACTGCCTCAGAGTCGCCTCTCAAATACATTTCCCTTCACATTATGGTAAATGAAATGCTTCTCCACATTTGACTTATAATCACACAACAATTTCTCTCACACACTGACTCACGATGCAATAATTAATTCCAACACTCACTCCAGTGCAGAAGTGAACCAATCCCAAAAAGAGGCTTCCCAACCTCTACTACCCTCTTAGAGTATTATTCTGCAATATTTATCGCTCCATTGGAGAGGTTTCATAAGCCAGAATATTCAGTGGCCTGAAGCTGGGGCTCTTTGTTTTCTTTCACCCATTGTAGCTCTCATTACTTCAATAGGATTTTTTTTAAAGTTTGAATTATTATGAATGTATTTTTTGACACAATTACGTTTGAACTGATGTGGAACCTGTGTTTGACCTTGAATTTAGATGTGGGATTTATTTGTATGTTTCTTCCAGTGCTTACAGTCGGCTTAATTACCCCCATTCCTACATGAAAAGAACAAAGAGCAATGCAAGTATTTGAAAGGAATCAATCTTTTTGTATCTTGTTTTGCATGTCTGTTTGTAGCTGCACTCGTCAGTATTCAACAGAACATTTTGCTCTACTTTGGAATCCAATTTGTGGTTTTGGAAACACGTTCAACACGCAGACAGGTATTTGCAATGACAAAGTACTTCTTAACCAACTTTACAATGCCTTTCTGCGTAGTGAAATTCTGTAGAAAATTGATGCTTAAAAATTTGATATAGACTGTTAGAGAATAGCTTATGATTAAAATGGAGCACTTAGCAGCTTAAAAGCTAGATATTTTCCTCAGGAGTTGGTGGAGACCAAAACCAGAGCTAAAAGGAGATGGCCTATCCAACTGACTTTTGCCATGTCACCAGAAACGTAACTCCAAATAAATGCTAATGTTTCGCTGCGTCTGCTGGAGTGGCAATGACACATCAGCCATATCAATTGTATAGGATGATATGGCAATGTTTTTTTTTCAGGTTTTTTGCTGCCCCACGTGTCCAATAGGGATCCATTAATGCAGCTTCAAATCGTATAGGTGAGTAAGGCTATACGCATATAGGCTATAAACATTTAAAGAAATATTTTAGACCAAAATGTATAATTTTAAAGAAATCGCTTCAAGCTTTGGATTGTTCGATTGTTGCAATATTCTTACATGAAACGCAATTTTAGTCAACTTTTTACAGATTCATTATGTTGTAAAGCGAAGGTGATGGTGGCGTGTGTGTATGTGTATGTGTAAGAGAGAAAAAGAGAGAGATGACGATGATGATGGGATATTGGGTGAGACAGCTGTTGCACTCTGAGGGATTAATACAATCTCTGCACCCACAATCCCCTGCTCCAGCATCCACCACCTATCCCTCTCTGAACCCAGCCTTCTGCTACATAATCATCTCATCCTCCCAAACACTGACAGCTCTCACGCAACAGCCACAGTTTGGCATGAAATCAAACACATAACTGTACCATGACAACACAAGAGAGATTTGGCGGATGATATTTGTGTGTGTGTGTGTGTGTGGGTGGGTTTGTGT